AGGTCAGCCAGTCTGGCTGAGAAGAGCCTCCTCCCCAGAGGTTCTTTTCTTGTTCTTGGTGAGCAAATGGAAAATAAGAAATTAAAGATTATTTTTTTAGTCACGGAATTTCTTTTATATTGAGGCTGTGCAGGTGCCTGTTTGGGCCTTATTTTAAATTAGAGCAACCCTGAAGCTGTAACACACTCTGGCTCGGTTGGCCTCCAGTGGAGAAGAAAGTAGCTGTAGTACTACACACTTCAGCCATTCCCTCAACATATTCCCAGTCCTTTCACCATTCTGTGGGCTGGGAATGGGACTTGTATGATGTCCTTTAGAATCATTACACCATCCCTGTGCTAAGGGATACTCTCAGGGGGACATTTCTAAATACTTTAAGACCATTTAATGCTGATGGTTTCAGAGCAGCTTAAAGGCACCATAAGTTTAACTGAGAGTCATTCTCAATATGTGTGTAGGCTTCACTGTATGACTGAGATAATGGCTAAAAAAATTATAAGGTTATTTCGGGAGTGGGTTGAATATTTGTGAAATATGAACTAATAAAGATGTGTACTCTAGAAATCCTTAATCATTAGTGAGAAACTATTTTTGAATCATTCCAATTATTCACCCTAACATATAATCAGAGACTAGGATGCTCAAGCCATTTATTATGAATTTGTGAGGTCAGCAAAACCTCATTTGCATATGTATTTACTTATTAAATTTATAGGTAGGATTATTAGGAATTCAGATGATGTGGACTCATGATTCTGAAGAAGCCCTACACAATGCAAAAGATGACAGGAAAATAATGCAAGTAACCAACCAGAGATTTCTGGATATTCTGAATACACTTATCAGTCAGACAACCCATGATCTTTCCAAGTATGATAGAGTGAAATATGAAACTCTGGTCACTATTCATGTGCATCAACGAGATATTTTTGATGACTTGGTAAAGTACATATTTTAATTTCTGAAAGTTAAATGATGTTTCTGTTATAATGATAATATTTCCCATGCCAAGTGCTTTTACCCTAAGGATCTGACTCTGCATTTGCATGTAATATTGAAATATCATTTTTCTCTCCTGAGTTAAGATTGCATTTAATTTTTGCTTAAACCAAACTAAAATCCATGTTTCAGACTATAATAAATGAATTTAGTCTTCAAATTTTCACAGATATTCTTCTTAATCTATTTGAATTGTTTGCTATTTTAGGACATCTCAAAATGTTGGCAGAGGCATTTTTAAAATGCCCCCCTTTTTATATTGGTGTCACAATCTAAGCAGTGTAGTAGAAAAAGATAAAATAAAATACCATACAGAAAATTGGCTGACATTTGCAGGCTTTTGTGTGCATTAGAATAGATGAGGTTCTGAGAACCTGAGGGACAGACGTGGGATTGCATGGCTTTGCAGTGGCTGAGTGTCTGTTTCTGAGCTGTTTCCCTTTATTCATTTGTTAATCAGAGCAGGATGCCATCTTAACCATTTAAGAGACTGATAATTTGGGTTATAGGTGCAATGACTCCCCACCGCTCCTTTACCCTTAGGCTCCTCTCCCTAACTAGTGGGTTTCATTCTCCCGCCCCTCAATTTAATAACTTCTGTGCTTATTGGCTTCCTGTATTCCTTATATTCAACTTACAATGAAACGGTAGGGTTCTTGGGGCTGTGGACATGGAAACACTTAGGGGACGAAGAGGAAAGGCTGAGTTGGAAGGAGGGTGAGGAGCTGACAATACTGGGAAGTGAGTACACTCAGGAGCAAGAGGGCTTGAGAGAAGGAGCAGAAAACTGAGATGTGAAGGAACCAGGGGTGAGGGGATGAGGTAGGGCTTTTTCCTGCCCAACCGCACAGTTTAGTACCATTTAATTTCTGCCCCCCACCATAGTCCCTGCTACTTCTCAATCCCAGGTGGCTCACGTTAACATTACAAGGGAATGTCAATTTTCCTTAGTTATACAGAAGGGGAGCTCTTCTTTGAATCCTGTGAAGTGTATCAGTCTGCGACTGCTACTTGTTGCCGTTATAAAGTTGATGACACTCTTGAGGCAATGGGAAAAAAGCCAGGATTATGGTGGCAAAGGGAGGAAGAAAAAGAAGTAGAGCTGGGTAGAAAAATTGACTGGGTTACAGGGAACAAACTCCTCACCAGCTCCCTGGATCTCTGCTCTCTGGCACTCCGTATTTGAAAAAGCAAGAGGATCTATACATCTGGAGAGACTGCCAGGGAACTCTGAGAATCTTAGAAAGGAATTAACAGTGAATTGCTGAGATACAGTGAACCAAGGACAAAAATCTGGGGTCACAAGAGCTGGTGTGCTACAAAGGACCAGATAGCTAGTAGGCAGTGGCATAACTAAGGCAGGGCTAACAGGGCAAATGCCCTGGGCATTTGGAGGGGAGTGAAAAAAAAGTGGCTACTGATGGCAGCTGTGTGATGACAATTGCAATCACATGACAACCATAAGTCACTGCTGTTTTTGTGCTCCAAGCACCTAGCTACATCCCTGTTACTGCTGGTAGGCATAGAAACCAAAGAGGGTTAAGGGCTAGAATTAAGATCCAGTTTTTGTGAATTCTCCTTTGCATCCCATTAAAAGCTTTCCTGTTTGGTGTAGTATTATACATGCTATTACAGTCTGTCCTCTTAAAGTAATTTGAGCTATAATGTAAATGAGTGATAAGGGTTTTTTTATATCAATTCTAACACTCAGAATACTCTTAATATTCATGTAAATTTAAAAAACAGATTCTTTATTCAGTGCTAAAATTTGAAACAGGAAACGGGTCATTTTGCAAGTATAATGAAATGTATTATATGGTCCTAAGATTATATTATTCTCTATTGTTCTACTAGAGATGCTCATTATACAAGCAGTGTCAAAGATGCAGTCATGAGATACTGCAGGCATTCAATTCATGTTTTATTTTTCTTTTTAAGGTAAAGATGCATATCAAGTCAGTAACAGATTTTGAATGGCTAAAGCAGTGTAGATTTTATTTTAAGGAAGATTTTGATCAAGTTTTAGTATCCATTACAAATGTTGATTTTGTTTACCAAAATGAATTTTTGGGATGCACTGATCGTCTGGTTATAACTCCTCTAACTGACAGGTGAGAAACAATAACATGTAGGATGTTTCTTTTCTATAATGGGATCTTCACAGAGCTATACTCTGAATTACTATAAATGTAAAACTATATGTTAAATGAGCACATGATGAACTTCTGCTTGTGTGTGTTGAACTGTATTTTTTGACTTCGTAAAATAATAGCTCTCTTTCTGCACATTTGATAGTTCCTACAAAAATACGGTGATTTCTGCCCACATCAACAATAAGTTAATAGCAGATTTGCATTTATATTTTTTGGTGTTTATGTATATACACACACTAATTTGTTTACTTACGTATACTATTTCATGCATGGATAACTTGAGATAGAATTGGTCTTTAAGACTCAAAATTCCCATGAGCTTTGTTTAACACTGTAACAGGGCTTCAGATATAGTGTCTGTTATGGAGGAAAAGGGGATATGCCATTGAGAACAAAGAAGAAAACTTACCCACAGCTGGACCAAAGTTGGAAAGGCAGAATGATGTTGGGCACCGGGAGCCCAGGTGATCCCAATGAAGCCCTGCCCAGATCCCAGCAGGACCTCACATGGAAGCAGGGACCAGACAGATTGGTTCCTGGTGGAGGAGCCAGGAGGTAAAAGGCAGGCAGGGGAAGAGGCAGTTTGCCCCTACAGCAGGCGCCAGCTGGAGAAGATGGTGCCATGATGAGGGGAGAAGCAGGAGCAATGAACTGAGCAACATCAGAGGCTGGTACTCGCTGAAGCTGGAGGAGCTGAAGCAACATCTGGAAGGAGCAGGCGAGTGCGGTTTGAGTGAGTGCCGAGCCAGGGAAGGATCTGCCTGTGAGCAAAGAGCTTAAAGGAGCCAGAGCGAAGAGCTGCAGGGAGGCAGGCAAACTCCTCAACCCTCCTTATCTAGGGAGAGAACTCAGGGAAGAGGATTGGCAGCCAACAGTAGAACTATAGGCAGCTGCCCAAATTACTAAGGAATCCTGGAGGCTGTGGCCCTGAGGATTTAAAGGGCCAGCTTACATGAATGGATGAGTGGAGGACTCATGTTTAATACTCATTGGGGCTGTGAAGCAAACAGCCCAGTACAAGGGAGGGCAGTAGAATGCCATCTCCCTAGGGATAATTGCAATGGGACAAAAGGGGACTCTCATGACCTCAAGATCCTACTAGATGAAGAGAGAGGGATGTAGCACCCAAAGTGACACCAGTGGCCGGGACAGCACAAGTATTGTCAGGACAGGGTGAAGGGGAGGTAGGAGCCCTGTGAAGAGACTACAGTCATAAGGCATCTTAAGGAGAAACACCTGCTAAATTGTCCACTTTTTCATTATATCTCTGTTTTCATCAAGGTGTGGTGGGCAAGTAAGAAAAGCATCAAGGCTACACACCAGGGAGTAACAGCAACACATTAGGGTGTGGGACCTAAATATCTAAAGGAGAATATCATTTAAAGAAATTTCCTTAACTTGCAAAATGAAAAGCCATATAAATGCATGTTTTATGATGTTTTTGGCTTATTAGAAAAAGAAGATAAGAAGAAGGAAATTGAGTCCTAGGAGTCGATGAAGCTTTATCTTTTTCTTGATTTCATTCAATACAGCTTTGATATCATTTAACTTTTTGAAAGAAATTTTTGACATCCAGGTGTCAGCAACTAAAAACATCCTGCAAATTGATTCGCTAAAAGCTAAGCAGAAGACAGAAATAGCTCTTCTAATTAATGAGATCATGCTTGACCAACTAACTGTCATTTGGTTCACCCTTAACTTTATCTCTGTTTTAGAGAAAAGGGTTGCTGTACAATTTCTGCACCAAGGATCGATGCATTTCATGGATACTGATCTTTCCATAGCTCCAAAACATTTGGGCAATACCTCTTTTCTTGCTGATATTGATGACAGTTCAGATTTGTCCATGGTGGTTTCTTTCACCCATACTTCATATTTCACTTGCCTTCAGAGTGGCAGCTAAGAACCCTTGTATTTTTATTTCTTCATGCCCTTCTTTTAAAGCTAAATATGGAAAAGGAGTGAGCGGTATTTTCCCTTGGGGTGGGAAGGAAAGTTATTCCTTCTGTTTTGCCAGATTTGTTTCTCTGTTTATTACCTTCCTCCCCTTCCTAATGTTGCATACCTGGCCAAAGGAGTAAAGGAAAGGACAAGAGATCCCTAATTGGCAAAAAAATCCTCTCAGGAGCCACAGAAAGAGTATTCTCTCCCAGTTGCTCTCACTTTTTCCACTTCTGCTCTTCCAGGGGCAGAGCCTTAAAGTATATTCTTCTTGTATTGTTCACAATAGTTAAGACTCCTCTAATGATTCTAGACCAGAATAGCTCAGTCTTCTGCTCTTGGGGCACAGTAAATGAGACCATTTTCATCAATTAAGAAATCTGAGGAGCAAGTCTCAAATTCTGCCCAAACTTTCCAATCAAAAGAAAAACTCCAGGTCACATTCAAGTGGGTGTTGTTAAGTGGGTAATAGAATCAGTAAGGAATTCAGCCTCTCAGTGACTATGGAGAATAATTAGTCATCATGTTTTTTCTGGCAACCTATCAAATTTATGAAAATTATTATCATGTTACTGCTTAATTTTCTTTTCTCCAGACTAAATTTATCCAGCTCAACTTTTTCTTTTAAGACCCCAGAAAGAAATAGGAATGGGCATAAGGGCTTCTACGACTGGAGCCAGAGCCAGGATGGGAGCAAGAACCAGAGTGGGAGTCAGAATTGCAGTAGTGGGGGCCAGAGGTCCTGGCCATAGCTGGAACTAAATGGGTGAGCTGCTTTCCCAGCAGTCAGTCAGGAGGCCCTGAGGAGCTGGGGTAAGGCTACCAGTCAAAGCATTGAATGGGTCAGGGTAGGTGAACAGAATCTGAGGACAAACAGGATCAAGAAGCCAGGAGGTCAATCTGAGAGTGGGGTCTAGGAGCAAGTCAAGCCAAGAAGCCAGGAGAATGGGGTTGAGAAGATAGCCAGGTTGAGAAGCCGGGAGATCATGCAGAGAGCAGAGTCTAGGAAAAGGCCAGGTCAAGAAGCCGAGAGATCAAGTAGATTGGAGTCAAGGTGAAAGTGACTGCAAGGCAGTCTTGGGTCAGATTGAATCCTGTTGCACAGGCACTTCCTATTCCTGCACAGGGGACTGGAAGGGGAAGTGGAAGGTCATCTGAACCTGACTGGCCTCCAGTGACAGGGTGGGCAGAGGCTTTAGGCCCTATTGGACGCTTCAGGCCAGCTTTGCCCTGTCTAGGTGGTCAGTGATGGAGTGGATGAGTGACTGTGTTAGCCTGGCTGTGGTCCCAGATTCAAGGTGGTGGCTTGACAACTCTTATTCATTTTGTGCCTGTGCATTTGGTTTTTCTTTCCTATATGAAATATGTTACATTTTTCCCTTAACAAAATTCATTTTATTTTTCACAGCCCAGATGTCCAATTTATTGATATAATTTTGGATTACAATTCTGTCTATAAGTATATGACATCCTATTTTGTACAATGTGGACATTTAATGAATTGACTCTTCACTATTTCATTCAAGTCATTAATGAAAATGTTGAACAGTGCTAGACTCAGAATTGATCTGTGATAACCCACTGAATACCTCCTTCCAGTTTGATACTGATCTCTTAATTACTGCTCATTGCCTATGGTCCTTCAACCAAATTTTATCCACCATATAGTTGTTTCTTTTTGTCCATGTTTTGTTGAAAGGAGATTCATGCCAGCTGCTGGGAATCACCTTTTTGTCTTCTAGATGCTTACAGACTGAATTGTTTTGGAATTCATTTAAATAACTTCCAGAGCTGAAGTCAGGGTGACCAATTTATAATTCTCTGAGTTTACCCTTTTTACTTTTAAAAGATGGACACTCCATTTGCTTTCTTTCATTCTTCTACAACCATGCTTGCCTATTTTGACTTCTCAGATGTAATCACTAATGTCTCTGAGATAACATTTGTTGGTTCCTTCAACATCCTTGGAATTACACCCTTACATTTATTCACAACAGTCAAATATTCTTTAATGTCCTCTTCTTATTTTAATCTGCATCCCTACCTCCTCTTTGTTTATATTGACTTTGCTAACTATCTATTCACAGTTTATCTTTTTGGGGAAACAGAAGCAAAATAGGCATTAAGCTGGTTGGTTGTCTTTGTATCTTCCATTAGTAACTTGCCCTTACCATTAAGCAGTATTATTTCTGTCTCATTTATTGCCAGCTGTAATTCATTTCATTCTTTTGGTGTCCTGATATTGTCCCAACACTCCTGTAATGGTTCTAACTTTGTTTCTTTATGTCATTAAAAAACCTACTGTACAAAGATGTTGCTCGCTTGTGACTTGTTCATTCTTCCTTATACATCAGATTAAATTAGCTTTGTACCTCTGATGTTGTATCCTTTAAGAAAAGCCAGCATTCCTGCATAACTGTTTCCTTTGATTTATTAATCCAAGGGATGTTACCTACTCTAAGTCTGCTTAAATAAGCTTTTCAAAAGTTCATCTTACTTATTTTGTTCTTTCCTCATCTTGCTTTCTTTGGGAGCAAATACTTTTTTTTTGTCCATGATTACTGTCATTCAGATTGTTGACCACTTTTACATTCAACCAATTCTTATTGTGGAGAAACATATCTGAAATAGTTGATTCTCTGGGTACTTCCTCCATTTTCTGGACAAGAAAATTGTCCTCTGTGATTCAAGAGCTTGTTGGGCATTTTATGTGTAGCTGTTTTATTCTTCCAACACATAGCAGGGTAGCTAAATTCCTCTATTCTTACTAGTTCATTCATTTTGGATGCTCCTTATGCCTGCTTGAAAAATCCCTCATCATCCTTCTCTTTATGATGTTGTGGGTCTGTAGTAGACCCACCATGACATCTCCTTTGTTTTTACTCCTGTTATCTTCATCATGAATGTATCTGGCACACCTGTGGGGCCAAGGAGCAAGTGTCCATAATCTTTATGTGCAATGCAACACCCCTTCACTTCTCCCTTGCCTCCCCTGAAGTAACTATAATCATCAATAGACAGATTCCAGTCATGCAATATCTTACCAAATCTTGTAGTACATGTTATGATTTTAAGTTAGGCTTGTTCTATATATACATATTCTGTCTATAAAAATGCTTGCTCATAAAAGAGGGGCTGATATCTAGAGTATCTTAACTGTAAGCTTGCGCATCTGGCATATGATGACAAAAATTCACAGGCTAGTTCAGAAGTAAGAATAATGGATGGTAAATCGAAGAAGAGGGTGAATTTTGGAGAAATTTAAGAAGACAAAGAAAACAGAACAGAAATTGGAGGTTGTCTGGCAGTGAACATCTATGCTGATATACCAGTGGGGAAAAAATATAGTCTTATTTTTTCCATATATATGCACAAGTCCCTCTTGCCTTCAGAACAATATATATGAGTTATATCATGCCTTTAGATACAACAGCCAAAGCCATTCTGTTTGAGGCACAAGTCCCTCCTGGCTGCCTCCTTGTTCTGAAGGCAGGAGTATAATAATTTGCGGTGGGTCTCTACTAGCAACAGGTTATATCACACAGCCTGAGATGTGTCAGCTCTGATGTACTGGCTGGCATGATGAGCTGCTAACCCAAGACTCTCTTCATTCCAGAGCCCTAGCCAGGCATTATGGTGCCTGGTGTAGGTCATGTACAGAGTACTCCTCTACATACTTCTGTGTAACATTACTTCCATTTGATTTGGCACCCTTAGTGCAAGGGTGCATGTTGCCGATTCATTGCTGGCACTGCTCTTGCTATGGTACTGCCCCATTCTCCACCCATTTACTCTGAAGATATTTTAGTTCCTCTTTCTTCTGTGCTTAAGCGTTTAGTTCAAGACAATCTAGTCTAATGTAACTATATACAATGTAAAGTCCTACTTAGGGTGAACACAGTAGCAGAATCTGTTATTCAAAATGACTAGCAGAAATAACAGTTGATGATAGTGAACTGTCTCTGTCATACACATTAATACTTGTTCACTGTTCCCTTTTAGGCATTATGTAGCAGCTAATCTAATATTTGTGTTCTGTAATAAAACAGGACACAATTTATATTTATTACATTAATACTTAAAGGCTATATTCTGCCACTTTCACTCATATTAAGTAGTGCCTTATCCCGTGAGTAGCCATGTTGAAATCAGTGGGACTGCTCTTGGAATAAACTATAATGCAATGTAAGGGATGAAGAGGATCATTCATACCTACTGCTTTTATTATAGCCATATGCATTTATCTCTCTTTCATGTATAATTAAATATAAACTTGAATTAACATTTGCAGATGCTATATTACCTTAGCTCAGGCATTAGGAATGAACATGGGAGGCGCTCCTGCAGGACCAGCTGGAACTGGTAAAACAGAAACCACAAAAGACATGGGAAAGGCTCTTGGAAAATATGTAGTGGTATTTAACTGTTCTGATCAAATGGATTTCAGAGGCTTGGGAAGAATCTTCAAAGGTAAGATGTTCAGTATTAACTATATTGAGAAACAATGAACAAAAATGATAACTGCCATAGAGGATATAAGTGCCTAAATGACTTGCACCCTGTTTTCACTGTCAAGTTTTACTACCTTAAGTTGACTTTAGTCACCATAGGTTTCCACTATAGGAGTCCTCACCCAAATTTGATGCAAGCAAGGAAAACCCAATTTTACTGTCTCATAATACTGGTGTTATGGCTGCACAGTCCTGGCACTGTGGCCGCCCACAGCTAGGGCTTCATGGGACAGGGTGCAATGTAGCGTACCGAGTAGCCATCCTACCTGCCAGCCTACCGCAATGAGCTGCTGCCACTGCAGCACTGCTAGGAAGTGAGTCTGTGCTGGCCATGGAAGGGGGCTCAGCCCAGGGCAGCCTCCCCTGCTTTGCCAGTGTGGCATGACATCAGCAGTTCATCATTGTTGGCAGGCAGGAGGGCAAGACAGCTACTCGGTGTGCTGCATTGTGCCCCATCCCATGTAGGCCCAGCTGCCAGTGGTTGAGGTGGCAGGACTGCACAGTGCCAACAGGAAGCCAGGCAGGAGGGGGATGGGTGCAGAGGGGGTGGAGAAATATGTACGCTGCATGGCCTGGCCCAGCCCAGCCCAGCCGTAGCTGGGGCAGAGCAGAGTGGTGCAGGGCACAGCCCTCCCTTCCCAGACTCCCGGCAATGGCTGGTGGCCTGGATAGGAGCAATTGGTATCTCCCCCTCACCCAGTCTTCAGCAGCTCACCAAAACTTATTAAATGGTTCTCCAGTGCAAAAAATTGCCCACTCCTGACTTAGCTTCATATTACAAGTACCTTATATGTCCTTATCACATCTACAGTGTTAAACACCTGTAGATGAAATGAGTCAGTAAGAATTGCCCCCTTGCTTTCAGTTGTCCAAAAGCATAGCCTACTATCATCCTGCTTAGCATGTAGTTAAAATCACTTGCATGGGAATTCTGTTCATTGATCACTATTTTTTAGAGGTAGAAATATTGCTTATCCACAATGAAATAGGAAAGCCTCTCTAATACCCTGGTATTGTATATCCTGCCATTATAGAAGTTGAGGTCTATGAAAATACACAGTGCTTCACAAAGATCTGCATTAAAAAATCTGGTTTTCAGTTTGCCAGCACAGAGGGAGCTTGGGATTATGACCTCAAACCCCCTCTACACAAGCAGGTAAAGGCATGGTTGGATCTAATGTGTGATCCACACAATCATGCCTTCTGTCACGCCACATATGCCCGGCAGAGGTGTGGTTGTGGGATCATACATTAGATTCAATCATGCCTTACTGCTGGCGTAGAGGGAATCGAATCTTGGGCTCCTCCTGCATTGGCAAGAAACAGGCTCCCATGGTTGGGAGCCCCCTTTGCTGAGGGGGCTGCCAGCCACAGGAACCATGTGCAGCAGAGACTGAGAGTCCCACAGCTGATGGGGCTCCCAGTCATAGCTGTGCATGAAGAGTAGTTGGGACCAAGAGTCCTGTCAGTTGCAGGGTGTCTCAGTTGCAGCCAGGACCAGGAGCCCCATGTGGGCCCAGCGGTTTCATACATCCTTGAGTGCTGGGTATCACAGTAGCTGTGATCCCCAGGGCTTGGGGGTTTCACACTGAACATTGTGCAACCCTGGAGCTGGGAGTCCTGTCAGTTGAAGGGGCTCCTAGCTGCAGGTAAGACACTCCTACACATGCAAATTAAAGCTTGATAGCAACCTAAACTTAGTACACATTTTTGAGGTCTAACTTTATAGCTGGTTGGAGCTTTTTATCATGTGATAACTACTTTGCACATGTAGCTATGCATGGAGATCATTCTCACACAGTATATCAACAGGTAACAGATATTCTTCTTCCCATTTTAGGTCTTGCACAGTCAGGATCCTGGGGATGTTTTGATGAATTTAACAGAATTGAATTACCTGTCCTATCAGTGGCAGCTCAACAAATATATATTATTTTAACAGCAAGGAAAGAAAGGAAAAAGCAGTTCATTTTTTCTGATGGAGACACTGTAGATTTAAACCCAGAATTTGGAATTTTTCTTACAATGGTAAATATGTGATTGGAAGAGTGTAATTTTAATAGTTGTTGAGAGATGACAAATTGCACATTATAAAATTTAATTGCATAGTTACTTGAAAGTAATTCACTTTGTTAGTTACATGGTATTATCTAGGTAGTTATGAGTTTGCATATAATCATAAAGATGCAGTAAATCACTGCCTCACTACCTTCTGGATTTTTTTCTCCACAAATAAAGCCCAACAATTCTGTCCAAATCAATACAACATCCTTCTGGATGGTAGCGTAACTAAGGGTGGACTAGCAGGGGACTAACCCTGGGTGCCAGTTTAGAGGAGATGCCAGAATGGCAGCTCCTAGGGGACCTGAAACACAGAGGCTACTGCAGCTTGTGTGTGGGGAGCCTGTCCTGCAGCCACAGCAGCAGCCAGAATGCAGAGAGCCTGTGTCGTGGCAAGTAAAACTCTTCTCCCTCATCCCCTGCTTACCATACTCAGCAAAATGCACCCACACTCCTGCTTTACCCAGGGCTCTAAAATAGGTAGTTACACCTCTGTTTCTAAATAAAGAATCATAACATACAAATAATGTATTAAGTTCTTAATAGTTCTATTCATTATTTCATCAAAAAATAGGATTCTAACAAGACTGTCAAAGATCCTGAAAAGTGAAGAGTTGTCCTAATTTTAGATTCTATACAGATTTTGAATATTTGTAATAAATTATTGTTTCACTGCTTGTCCAGTATATATTAATCAACTTTATTGTACTTTCCCCCCTTACATCTGAGATCAGATTCATGCTTGTCCCATCTTCTCCTGCTCCCTGAGACATTAAGGGGCAGATTGAAACCAAATTACTTTTTTTTGCTTCTTCTTACCACCTATCTGTGAAAGTTAACAGCAGCTTCACTTCTTTCATTTATATATCTACATTTATAAGCTTGAAAACATTACTAGTTACCTTGTAGTACCTACAAAGTGATGGGTTTGTACACTGTACATATTATCATTGAAGAACAGTTGTAGGAATTAGTACAGTTTTACTAGGTTTCTGCTATAGATAAGTTTTTACTTTGCTTTTTGGTTTTGCTTAGTACCAGGCTTCCACCCTGGTGATTTCTCAAGGTTTGAATAATACCCCTCAAGGCAGAAATTATCAAGGTTTGAATAATACCCCTCATGTGAGGCATCTGTCCCATTCAGTGATTGTTATGTGAGATATCAGTTTTACTGTGGGGAATGACATTTTATGGACATATGTTTCACTTTTGTGTTCATGGTTTGTATGAATGCTATTTTTTCTCAAATTTGAGGCCTGCTTATAATTTGGACATAATACACCCAGATCTGAGCAGTATTCTTGCAGAAGAGGTCCCATGAATTCTGCTTCTGATCCTGGGCTGCTGTTCCTGTTCTTTTGATTGCACTTGTTATCCAGTCTCCATCATCAACTACTAGACCTAGGGCACTTCACCACTAAAGAGAACACGGACCGACTTCCTCTGAGGAACCTAGTAACAAAAAAAGGTAGAGATTATCACCTTTTCTCCATAGTCAAGAGTAGTACAAGGAGTACCTCTGGCACCCATAAAAACTGTGGACTCTGTACTTTGGTGCTGGCCTATGTGTATTCTCCTTTGGTCTCTGGCTCCATCAAGACAATATTGCCTACAAGTCTCTCAGGACTGATGTCAGGGCTCATATAGCAGTACTGATGTGACTGATACCAACATCAGCATTTACCACTCCAGCATATTTGACCTCAAAATCATTGGTTGCATCGACCATCTTGGGCACTGAGATTCATGATACTGAGAACTTCAAAAGTATCTGTTTTTTTCTAGTCACCACTATTGTTTTTGGTAGTAGATGAATCTTTACGTATAACAGGGCACATCTATGTGTGCATTAATGCGCTGTAGTTACTGCACTTTAAGTTTAGTACTTGTAATAACAGGTACTAAGTGCACAGTAACCAGCGCTACTGCACAGTAGTACCAATGCACACCTTTTAAGTGATGCCAGTGTGCAGTACATTAATTGTACTGAGCAGTAGTGCAATAGTACAGCTTTCACTGTAATGCACTAATAAGGCACAATAGAATTAGTCTACTGCACATTTAGCAACTTGTGTAGATGTGCCCTAGGGGAATCTTCTTTAAACAGGCTTTGGAGCACCTGTTAAACCAGCTTCTTCACTGGAGGAGGATTACTGCTTCTTATTTGCTTCAGGCTTCAGTGGAGAAGGGTTTACCCACATATGCCTAGATCTTACTCACATAACTGTTATGCGTCTCACATGGATTTCAGAGCCTGAGGTAGTCCATTAGACAAAAAAGAAATAAGAAAAGGTAGCCTGATATTTAACAGACACTATTCACTATTCTGCTTATGGATTCCTTTTCCTATTCCTATACACCATGGGGGCTTCAGAGTCCCAGAAAGCATGTTTCGTTTGCCTCCTCAGGGGTCAGATCTTGAGTATTCAACAATATCAACAAGCTAGGTGCTTATTACTGACCTTCATTATTTACAAATTGCTGATGAAGAACACCATTAGTCTACTGGATTCATTTTTGCTGCCATTTTGTTAGTAGTATTTAGTACAATCTACTTTTATCTCTCTCTTACTCCCTATAATTAAAATACTCTTCAAGTCCTGGCTGAAGACATTAGAAATGTCAGTCGAGGTGCAGCTGGATAGATTTCAGACTGCTAGATATTTCGCATCTGTGTGTTAATTAATGAAGGATTGTTAGAGATAGTAAAGTTTTTGTGGCAGATACCAGTATCTGTTGCGCTGACTTTGAAAAAGATACAGATTACCAGATATCCTCTTCAGGAATTAGCATAATAGGGAAGTAGGGCTGGAAAGGATCTTACAAGGCCATCTAGTCAACCCCTCTGCTCAAGGCAGGATCATCACTAACTAAACTATCCCAGCTAAGTGTCTGTCTAACCTGCTCCTGAAAACTGGCAAGGATGGAATTGAGTATTTTTATATTCATCCCATAACTGGATCTCTTGTATTTACTGCTGCAAGAAAGCTTCAAGGAGATAAAGGCTTAAATCCTACTTCACATCTAAGGCACTACTTGGTACTTAGGTGCTTAAATACAGTCATATTCCATTTTGCTTGGGTCCTTGAAAAATGCAAACATAAAAGGTGGGAAGGTCCTTCTCCTTTTTGTTTTTTCTTACTAAATCTTCAGGGTAAGATGAAGGCAAGTTACAAAAGTTGGTTCATTAACCAAAGAACTTACACTACTGGGAACACTGAGACAGTCTTATTTGCCACAAATAAACTCAAAGGCCATGTCTAGGTGAGCACAGTCATGCAGTATGTCCACAAATACCACATGTTCAGTTGTTATCCGTGCTGCAAAGGAGCAGCACAGAGGGTTTTTTGACCCCTGGATATCCAGGGGTTAAAAAAACCTGTGATGAAAACAAATGGAGCAGTGCACAGACAGGCAGTTCACACCACTCAAAAGCAGAGCTGGGCCACCCAGAGCCACGCTGCAGTTGTGAGTCAGGCTCTGGGTGGCAGAATCGCCACTGCTGCAGCCCCAGGAGGAACCCAGGTAAGGCTGCTGGTCCCAGCCTCCCCTACCCCACTCGGGGTAACTTGCCTTGTGACAAAGCGTGAATGGCACAGGTGTTCCCTGGAGACAACTAGCAGTGGCGCAAGGTGTGGTGCTGCTAGTTGTCCCTGGGAACCAAACGTCCACGCTACGGATGGACACAGCCAAAGTGTTGTAACTTTGCCTTTAAGCTGTGTGTGGAAGATGACTGCTAGAGTGTACTCAGAAACATTCCTAATTCTTTGAACCTCCTGAGTGGTGTATATGTTCCTGCAAATCCTGTGGACACTTAAGGTTCTAAGGAAACTGAAGCAAGAGCCTGCTGTAATAGTCTTGATAGCATCAGTTTAGAAGTTAAGATGGGTCTGGTTTGTATAGTATTTCTACTTCTGCTTCAAAGGAATATGATTCCGGATGTCCTCTTTCAGTGATAACCAACCTCTGTCAGTTATGCCACAAGTCCTCCTACTTTCCCTAAGTGTCACTGTGATCTTCCCCTACCAGATGTAACTGATAGTTTGCATCCTGGGGTACTGGAATGGAGGCAGGGGGGCTCGATCCTCTGGCTGTGGCCACGTGGAATAGAGCAGGGACAGGATGCTGTTGCAAGACGTGGTGTGACTGCCAGAAACCGAGTTAAGCTTACCCTGGCCCTGCAGTTTTATATGGCAAGTGAGGATCCAAAGTTCTGAATTTGGTGGCTGCTGCAGGGACAGGAAAGGAATAACTTGTCTCCTGGCAGTGATACCTCTCATAGTAGTGTTCTGCCCCTGCTCCACTCCATGGAGCACTCTGCTTCATGTCTCCATTTTGGTACTTCCCTTTACTGAGCAGCTAAGGCTCGTGTAGCACACACAGCAGCTGTCCATGCTACTTGTGGCTCACAAGTTGTGGATTGGCCATCCGAGTTCTATATAAGTAGTTCATCACTGAATATCTTAATGATGATGTTTCATATATACAATCTAAGTATTTCCACTTCTAAATTCTTGAGGTGAAAATTATCAGGAAAAAATGACCCAAATAGGTACTTTATTCCATAAAATGGTAATCAATGAAACACTTACTATGAAAATGCCTTTTCAGCCATGTTTAATAAGCAGCTCTATTTATAGCTATTTATTGACATTTTACTCACAGCATTTACTAATTATTAAACAAAAGACCTGTTTTTTATTTCACTCTCTTAATGTACAATGAACTGAATCAGCCCATGGTTATGTAAGCCATTTTTCACATTTGTTATGTAACTGTTCTAGAGAACGAAAAGAATGTACTTTGTGTATTGTAATATTGCAATATGCTTTTATTTATAGAATCCTGGATATGCTGGACGTCAGGAATTACCTGAAAATCTAAAAATTCAATTTAGAACTGTTTCCATGATGGTACCAGATAGGCAGGTAAAATGCATTAATATACAGAAGTAAAACTATATTTAATGGAGCTACATTTTTAAAAATGTTGATACCTCTTTAAAATTAGGCCACTTCCCCTGTCTTTCCTTCTTTTTACATTTCAAGAAGGCTAATGTAAATCTTAAAATTGTGTTATATTTCAGATAATTATGCGAGTTAAGCTTGCAAGTTGTGGATTTATTGATAATGTGGTTTTGGCTCAGAAATTCTTTGTTCTTTACAAACTTTGTGAGGAGCAGCTCACCAAGCAGGTATTATCTTTTCTTTTTATCTTATAGGATTTTCAGTACTGTTTTTCCTGTAGGCTTTGCTCCTTGCAGCTCTCCCTTACAATAAGATTTCTGTTTTTTGCAAAAAATTGAAACTGTAATGGTAATTTCAAACAAATATTCTCTCCAAAAAGTATATAAAGCACTTGAGCAACAATCATTTTTAATTTGGAGCCCCTGAGGCAGGGAGGACCTTGAGGAGCAGGGGACAAAGCCTAGGGGGAAAGGGGGGGATTCCAAAATGGCTGGGGGCGGGGGAGCAAGGAGGGGGAGGGATTCTTACATTTCAGTCCCCTAGGCCCCTGGTGGCCTGAACATGTTACGGCCCCTAACTTGAGCTAGCACAGCTCATGCTGTAATATGTAACAGGGCCCTAAGGCCATAGTTTTTGTGCCTTTTGTTGGCTAGTTGTTCTAGTCCTGTGTGGATCAGCACACAACTGAGTACTGACTTACTGAAAACCTCCCATTACTGACATGTAAGCTGTTTGGTTTTTTTGGCGGGGGGGTTCCATTTTAGGTTCATTACGACTTTGGTCTGAGAAATATCCTTTCAGTGTTGAGGACTCTTGGAGCTCAAAAAAGGGCCAGACCAGATGACAGTGAATTAAGTACTGTTATGAGAGGGCTAAGGGATATGAACCTCTCTAAACTGGTGAGTTTAGTATTTCCATACATTGTACAGGTGAGCCTGCTAGATGTTTCATAGTTCTTTCAGATGTTTTTTAAATTGAGGGAATTCTAAATCTCATTTGAAGAAATCAAACTTGGCATGTAGATAATGCTCAATAAGCAGCATGTGTTTCTAACACTTGAAAATCCTTACAATTCTAGAGGTTATAAACAAAGTAATAGTAATAATGTTCCTGGGCAGTTTAGTATTGTCCTTGTTAATTTCAATGTATATGGAGTGATAAGCGTGGTGCATATGAACAGAGTAACCTGAATGGTCACTTAACCAGATTGCTTTCCACTGTCAATGTGCTCAAGAATGCATGCATCTCCATAGTTACAACTCTGGAATTCTCATAAATGGATATACAGAAATGATTGTTTGCATCTACTTAAAATGAGGCAACTTGTTTTTCTGAAGTCTGAATTTCACCATCAGTATATCTTTTGAAACTATATCCTTAAATTAATTAATTCCCATTGTTTTAACATAAAGGTTCATTTTGATTTAAGAAAACTATACTTTGCATAGCCTTCCTTTAAAAATATATGTATTTTACCATTTCAGGTAGATGAAGATGAACCCTTATTTCTCAGTCTTATAAACGACCTCTTTCCAGGATTGCAGTTAGATAGTAATACATATGTTGAATTGCAAGCTGCAGTA